GGATATATACATTGCATATTGAGAATACTTTTCAGAAATTAGAAATAGTGTAATAGAATTTCTAAAAAATACATCTTACTATCTCCGACTAAAAGCTGATTTTTTTTCTCAGTTAATGTAAGCTAAATCAAAATATTTAGGCAATCTACATTGGATATGTTCAGTATAGTAAGTTTATTTCTCCCTCTCATATACACATACTTATTCTGAAAGGTAGTCACTAATTATAACTAAATGTATTATACCATTAATGATGAGAAACAACTATTTGACTAAATTGGTAAATGGCACTCAAAACTGAATATTGTAGGTTAAGGTACAATGATGATAACCATTGCGTGATTCATATTTTGGAAGAAATCAATCCAGCTTACTTCTTATTTATAAACCATCATGGGAAAATTACTTTAAAAATCATTTTTGTCAGTTTTAATCAGCCAATTAATTTTTGTTCTCACATATTTACTGGGCTATTTTGGTCAGAAGAAAGTGTGGAAAACTATGTTGGCGTTGTAAAAGAGAAATTCTAAAACATTATGTTGTATTACTGGTTACAAAACCCTAGTCATATATTTATGCAATACAATTCACATAACTGTATTAAACAATAGTTTGATGTGACGTTTTTATTGTGCTTATCAAATATATGTCAGTAAACTCAGTAATTATTTATACTGTTTAAATGGGAACTTGTAAACTACCTAACTATCCTAAAGAAATCACCTCTTCACATCAATCTGTCCCTTTTCGACTAAAACATTCACCTATCAAGCCTTAAGTAATAGGTTTGAGTTAAACAACACATACTTCAGTTGACACAACCAGTGTTTTACAGTTAGTCTAAACATTGCGATATAACAAAGTACATAACTAACATTTTGATAAACGAATCATATTACATTACAGTGCAGTAGAACACTTACTACCAACCCAATAAAAATTATATCAAGTCTTGTGTTAATAGCTTGTTTAATATTTTTATTAAAAGCACTCTTATACAATAAGTTGAAAAGTCAAAGAAATGACATTTGAAACAATTAGTCCCTTTGATAAAGTTAAATAATCTAGTAAGAAGACGAAAGTTATGTCCGAACGAAAGATAAATGTTAGGAATTATTTATGGACCATTATTACATATTTTTTTATTGGACAATTATTAAGTAACTAGATTAAATAAATATTCATATTCCTTTTATCATAAGGTTTCATTTGACTTCTTGGCTACTGCAATACGATTTACAACTCTTAACTTATTCGCAGTTAATCAGTAACAGTATCCCGAACTCACGGCTACTTTTGGCTTGGTCTTGCATGTTTATTATTTTTCATTTTATGATATGATGTGATCTGGTCTGCTTGTATATAAACCACGTCTGAAATATACGATTCATACAACAGAGGCTGACATTTTTGTTCTGGATTGAACGGACTGGGTTAAGTGAGAAGCTACTATACAGAGAACTCAAGACTTCTCGTGCTGAATAACAGATCGTTGGCTTAGCACAGGGACAAATTCATATAATTCGGTGATCTGACTGGCGATTTTGTTACGTGATATTTGATAGTCATAAGACGTAACAACGAAGATATTCAGAACTATATGATTTATTAGTGCAATAAATTTCGAAAAGTGTGATCATGCATATACTTGTTAAGAACATTTACATAATAAAAAGCGCTCAGTTATACTAATGGAGGAAAAGCGGAAAAAAAGATAATAAACAAACTAATGTGAAAAGCAATAAAGAATCCATTGCAATGAATAATAGACCATTATTACCAAGAATAGGTTTAAGGTTAGAACAAACAGTTTTCGAATATACAAAGTGGAACTCAAATTTCCTTATGGTCGAAGCTTCAATATATCATTCTCAACGCCTTTGAACACTTTTGTTCAAACTACAGAAGTTGAATTAAGATCAATCTTATAACCCGTTCCAACCATGTCTAGCAAGAGAGAGCCAGTGGATTTTATTTATTTTTGAGGCTGTTTCGGTAAATGCTTAGAGTCCCTAACTAGTAAATCAAAAATTACTTAACCCTACGTATGTGCAGCTACACATTTATGTGAAGCAGTGGTATATGACACTATCGTTTACGTGCTATTTAAGCTTTTAGTGAAACATTCACTTTGAATTTCAAATGACAATTATCCTTGCTGTATGGTATACTTTACTTACCGCTGATTTGTACTTTGTTTTAACACAAGGCTAATATAACACAGTGCTGAAAATATTGATCGTTGGATTACATTATTCGAAAAGATCGACACTTAAAACTAAAAACCTTTCATTACTTGTTTGCTTGACAATAATAACAGCATTTAAAACTACATGGAGTATTGATGGATAGTGGCTAGCAGTGGAATCCAGGATGCCCATTCAGTCCTATTCGGGACTTTTCAGCTGGGTGTACCTGCAGCGCAGAACCGGTGCTCATTCCGCGACTCGAACCCAGTACCGTTCACTTCAAACGCCATCGCGTTATCCATTTATCTACTGAGTCCTGATAGCCACCTGCTTGTGTGATGGGGTGAAGTTTAAATTCACTTTTATTGTTTTACTGATCAATTGCAGTCCTAAATGACAATGGGAAGATACAAGTAAAACAACATCGAGTGAATTTTTACATGGAATATTGTCTAAAATCCCTATCTATTAACATCTCATAGATAATTGTTCACCCATTCGGTAAGGTTTGTTTACTGCTTCTTTCGTTATTTTTCTTTAACATATCTTCGTTGTGTTAAAAATAAAATGTAACTAAAAAAATGTTATTACAGAGAAAATAATTCAATAATTAGTGAAGAAATATAATTAAAGTAAAGAAAAAACTTTTCATGTAAACTAGTGTGCACTTCAATTAAGCCAATAAATACGAGTGTGTTTATAACGGTTATATAATTTCTGTAGTTTACACCAAGAACCTCTACTGTAAATCAGTAAACACTAGACAGCTGTTTGATACCATTGTATGACTAACCAATAGTACCCATTCAAAAAAAGACCATAGACAATCGAAAGCAAGACGTTTAATCTCTCGCGCTAACACAACCTTTAGATCACTAAGCTGATACCCCACAGTCCAAATGTTTAACCTTAATTAGTTCAAAATTTTGCACAACTATTGTCTACAATAGATAACTTTCTCATACGCGACTTAGTTTAATTTCATATTGTTAGAGTCCCATGAAAGAGTGGAACAGTGTTCTAATGCCTTCTGGTTTTTCGTGATGATCTTACCAGGATCAGCCCCTAAGTTATACCAATTTATCCAATGTTTAATATAGTTTTCTCTTATTTACTAAAACAGAAACACTAAAAATGAATTAAATGACCAATAGAATTGAAAAATCTTTTTACAAATAAAACTATATAGTATCAATGAGTGAAATAAATCAATTAGCATGAAATATTCTAACTAACACACACTAAGGAAATCATCAAACTGCATCACTAGGCAAGTGCTTACTTGGAACCCTGAAGTGGGGAAATAGAAGCAGACATAAAAAGAACGAATAGCAACTGGGAAGGACTGTTCAAGTCAGCGTTGGATGGAGAATGCTGGTGGGTGGCCTATGCCCCTCCATAAGGGGCAACAGGAGTAAGTATGTAAGTATTCTGACTAACAAATCAACAACCTAATTTTTAAATTATGTCAGGTGTAAATGATGTTATTAAACAAACAGACCTGAAGTGTCCTTATTCAAACAATTCAAAGTAAACAGACACCATCAATTATAAGATGAGTACTACTTTTATATCATTTACATAGTTATCATAAAAAACATTTCCTTTAACAGAAATATAATTACATTAATGTAAATTCATGTACATGGTTGATTTGATATTTTTGGAATAAAACTTTTCTTAAAAAAATTAACGCCAAAATCTTTTATTGAGATATGATTGCTTTCAGAAAGGGTTTTTGTGGATATTATAGTAATTTAATGGTTGAGTTCATAAGTCAATTGAAGCTAGATCACCATGGAAAACCTGAAAGCACTGTACGGCCGTTTCGTCCTAGTGTAAGACTCCTGAGCAGTACGCATTCACGATCCCGCCTCGCGAGATTCGGACCCAGGACATATCGGTCTTTATTTCATTAAACTATTCAGCAAGGCAAAGACTATTAATAGGATTCCAGTACGTATATACACGAGAAAGAGAATGTTTCATCAAGCGATATTTATGCTATCAACATTTTAGCTAGAGTCTGTCATGTGATTAACAGTACACATTTATACAGACAAGATAGTGATCATAATAATACAAAGAAATATACGAATTGTTACTGTCCAAATAAGATTATCTGTTAAGTGAGTTAATAAAATGGCTTAACAAAATTTAACCATAATCGAAATTAATCGTAATAGTGTTGCCATAGCTTTTTAACTATAAACAATGTAATAATTCATTTAAATCAATATCACTAATACATCTTTACATCAAATCGAGTAAATTTTATATACACATACATTTCAATTTTATAGCATAGTGCATTTTGCATTGTTTTAGAGATGAAAGAAATATAAGTTGACATTTTTAAGCTTGGAGTTGCATGGATTATAGAATAATAATAATAATAATAATAATAATAATAATAATAATAATAATAATAATAATAATAGTAATAATAATAATAATGCACGTTGCAATGAGACTTTTCAGTTTAATTTTATATCAAATCCAGATATTTTTGGTCGGTCAATTATATTTTTGGTTAATTCTGTCACCCTCTTTTTTTATTACAAATCTGACAGATTTAATTACATAATTACAATTGTATATAACCATTTACTATATGTGTGTATATAATTGGTAAATTGTACAAAAGTATTCAGTTATGAACTTCAATGGGTAAACTGATTCATACTTTTTATAATACATTTGCAAAATGTGTATATTATTAGTTAAAATAAATTACATTCTTCAACTTTTACTTACCTACTTAAAAATGTTAATGATAATTAATATTTGTTATTAACATTTCCATTATAGGGATTTATGTGACAGGCAACGTTTATTTCTGTTTGGCAATCAATGGACATTTTGTTTACATGAAACTAAAAATAAGAAAGTGAAACGTATACATAATTAAATGACGATCCAATGGTCTAGAAGTCAAGCATTCGTTCTTCTGTGGTGTTTTCGTGAATTGGCACCTATGAGTAGCCACATATTAGGATGTAATAACTGTCTAGTAGTACCAAATTTTCAACTGTCACTTAGTCCCTGATGAAAATTTTGGTAATGTAGATTTCACAATAATTCGGTATACCATATCATGAGAACAAATAAATATTTTTTTAAAAAGTGGATTGTAAATGAAACTGTTATTGTAAATATACTTCATTGTCGTATGCTAACAACTGATTCCTGTTATATTAAAATCTTAAATAAAGACGAATAAGTCGCCAAAAGATTCAGTTGATAGCGATTGTACTGTATTCTTTACTGATCACGAAGGGATAATAATTGACTCTTCAGAGTGCTTATATTTCTAATCAAAACTACAGTGAGGTCAAACTTATAGAAGAAAAAATTCAATCCCACTGCTACTCAACTTTAAGAAAGAAACGGGTATTTAGAAGTTCTGCATTGTCATGTTGTTGATATTCACAACCTCAGCTAATAAAGCATTTGCAAAATAACCTCAGGAATCGTTAGTGATCATATGTGCTTAGTGGCTCAGTGAATAATGCATAAACATTTAAAGTGATATAAACTGATCTCGTACCTCATTGGAAATGTCAATTGTGAAATCTATATATATCGTGGTTAGTAAACGTATGGATTTCACTGTTGGACACAATCCGAATGCGCCAAGAAGAAATAAATGTTACATGGCTTGTGATTTTCAATGATTTCAGGGTTTCGATCTGGAAAAGACTAAACAACTTATCTAAATATCGGGTAATAGTAATTTATTTCTTCTAACACACAAACTATTTAATCCAGTCCTATGCTCCAGTTATTTAAATTTCTATATGGGAAACTGATATGAGAAAAGTGGTCAGTTATTCAAAAAAATACTAACTAGAATCATGATCTTATTGTTATCTCAGCCAAATACAGTCAAATTGTACAAAATAATTGTTCCTTTCAATAAACAATACTAGGTCAATACTTTTATGTTACTGAACGTTTAAAAAATATGGGAGAATTTTAGTCTGATTTAAAGTTTGAGCAGATACTACCTGGTAGAAAGTGAAAGTTAGTATTCCATGAAAGTAGGTATACATTAACCAAGAATAAGGAGAACATGACACTAATAAGTTATATTTAATGGTAAACATCTGATCTGTTAAACAAGCATTTGTTTGAACATACTATATTACAGTCCCTAAAATACGTTTACAGCTTGTCGCTATTCAATGAAATGTATCATGTCACTCTTGTAAACTTCAACATCAAAAAAAGAGAACATTGTAAACATAACTTACAAAGTGCAGTAACTATAGTAAGAAACACCTGTACACATTATATAAAATAAATTGTAGCATTATTGGTGAAAAATAGAAGAAAAATATTTATGAATAAAGTCAAAATAACAATTGAGGTAGAATAATGTGAATTCATTAGATTTCATGGTTCCTAATCATCTCCTTACAATCATATATGTATTAAAGTGAAGTAAGATATAATATGAAACAGTAAATATTGATATCGGAATGAATTTTCATAACTAAGGTTATCAATGACAATTATATATCTATGCATCTGTATAAGTACAGGTATGAGGTTATTTGGAGATGGTTTTCTAAAACAAGGGGAGTGGCTTAGACAGCAATTAAATGAAGTCCAAAAACATATAAGATAGATTGTTTAATAACTATAGAAGTTCTGAAGATTTCAAATAAGATTCGAATCATTTCAAAACAGATAAAAAAGACAGTTATAAGTTGGCGATTGTCTTTACTTAGAAATCGATAAGACGGGTTACGTAATAATTAAACAGGATTTGAGGAGTTTACATAAGTTTACAGAATTAAGTGAATGAAAAAACCGATGAATGAAAGAATAATTTTGGTGTACATAAAATAGGAATAAATATGATGAAGACCATATAACAAAATAAACACTAATAAATTAATATTAAAGGCAACAACAAAATAATGAACACAGTCTCTTTCTGGACATGTGAATCAAGTTTGAGTTTCTTTATTGCTACTGCCTCGGCGAACCTTAAAGATGCTTCATTTCTTATCTGCTGGTAATCTTGAGGAATCGGGATATGCCAGTGGTATGCCCGGTATCATTTAAATGATGAGCTATTGAACTGATATGGTGGGGAATATTTGTAGTTCAGGTGAATGATTTTGGTGGATGTTCGCTCTCTAAGCTGGATAGTTCGGTCGTGAAGCTCTCATTGTTGTTCTGAACAACTTCATCAGCACGAACTTCAGGTAGAAGCTAAGTGTTCGAACTTCTTCACATATGACTCAGCTTGTCCTGTCGATCTCGATCCTGATTGGCTATTGTTGAGCTTTGATCCATCGTTGTCTACTTCTCTATATTGATTGCATCTCCCTTGGATTTGATTCTTGGTATATTTTGCATAATTTTTCTGATTGGTTGATAGATTGGATCGATTTCAAAGTGTTTATTGATTGCTGATTGAACTGAGTGACAAGCTTCTAAAAATTCTCTGGCGTTTTTAGAATTCTCTCTATCCCAGTCTAATACATATGTCCACAGTTCTCTGTATAAGCTAGGATATGTAATGGCATTTGGCTGCTGATTGATGTTCGTGCAAGCAAAGATGAAGGGGAAGTGCACCTTGTCGACGTGATGTTTTTTCGTAGTTGTAAATGATGTTCGGTTTTTCTTCTTGTGTGATTTTGTTCTTTGGTTTGCCACCAACTGTATCCTTTGGTAATTTATTCGCTTTTAGTTACAGCTTAAATATGTCGGGAATTGGTCATTAGTATATGACAAAGTAATATATTTACAATAACGGTTTGATTTTAAATCAATCATTTAATTGCTACCTCACACAACGTCCCATGTTTTCCAGATAAATGTTAACCATTCAACCTGATAATAACAGAATAATTAATCTTAGAGCAACCACATCATTACACAAAACGTAGGTTTTCTTTAATCCTCATTAAAAAGCATATTTTTCAGGAGTAGATTGTGCTTATGAAACAAACTTAAGTTGATCAGTGCAAAAGTTAAGAGGAAAACTAAACACATTCTTCTAACCTTTGTATAATCTTTTCAAGCGAAATAATATTGTTTTAATTATACACATTCATTCACATGGTATGCATCACATAAACGGTGAACAAAACTCCAATTAATGTGAATATAAACTGTAGGATACTTACAGATGGATAGTGGCTAGCAGTGGAATCCAGGACACGAGTTCAATCCTATTTGGGACTCATCAGCTAAACGAATCTGCATCTCAGAATTGATGTCCACTTTGGGACACGAACCCAGTACCGTTCGCTACAAACGCCATCGCGTTATCCACTTAGCTACCGAGTGAAGTTTAAATTCACTTGGTATTGTTTACTTGAATCTTCCCATTGATGTTTAGGACTGCAGTTTATCAGTCTCCTATTGGCATATGTGCACATTGTGCGTATTGTCTCGATATTGCCTTATCTCACAAACATTATAAGAATAGATGGATAGTGGCTAGCAATGGAATCTAGGTTGCGCGTTTCGTCCAACTTGGGACTCTTCAGCGGGAGTTACATGCATCTTTGTTTATAATACTTGTGAATTAGGGTAATATCGATGCAATACGCATAGTATGCACATATGCCAATAAGATACTGATCAATTTCAGTCCTAAACATCAATAGAAATATTCAATTAAATAATACCAAATAAATGTTGGATACTCAGGCTGTTAGAATATCACTAGAAGGATACAGATTTCTTTGAAAATAAGTGATAACGTCAATTGATACAGAATAGCACGAATTAATTTTTTTTAAGTGTTTACCTTTCGCTGTTGACAATCATAGACATATTGAAATTTAATGTAATATAAAGTAATGAGTATAATACTAGATATCTAAAATATTATTTCATATTGTAATATTTCAGTGTTATATGTCAATATGGGTTCGGCTATAAACAGTAGAATAGAAACCATGGCATAAAGTTAATGTACATTATTCTATATCAATCGTTATTATTATTTTATTAAAGTAAATAAAGGAAAATAAGTGTATGGAGTTTTTAGAGATTTATACGTTGCATTAAAAATAGACGGAATAAAATGTGCTTTTTAAGGAATTTCTATATAATCTTACGTAAAACAATATCAAGAGTATAGTACCGTGATGCGTGCTACTTATGTTGACAGATATAAGTAGTATGTAACACTAATCGAAAAAAATGCCTAGCAGCAAAAGGTTGAGAAAATTGAATGGAAAAGAACTGAAACAGCGATTGATTGTTACAGGAATGAAGGAATAACAAAGTCTGAGACAGTCAATAGACGTTTTGTGAATGAAATATTGAACATATGGTAATCACATTTTACCAAAGAACTCCGTGATTTGGTTGTCCCCACTTGTGCTACCATTCACTACAGTTCAATATAAACTCAATCTTTTTATTGTGTATCACTGAGGTTTTATGTGTGTTCACTCAAGTCTTAATTAATTAATCACTCTAGATATTTATTTACTTCAGTAAAAACGAATTTACCAGTTACTGATCACATTTTTGAAAATCATTATTTACTGTAGATTTAAAATTTCTATGTAAAGAAACAATACGACAAAACTTTGATTATATTGAATTCAATCAGTTCATTTTAAAAAGTGAACTAATTTAAATGAGAATTCTTCCTATTTCTCAACAGAACCAATTCTATGAATTGAAATATTTCAATCGTTAGTTTTCTTGATTAAATGCTCCAATGTTATCACTTAGTGTTAGATAGTTGACAGGTATAAAGTTAAACAAAAATCATAAATTTAGTTCTCTATTTGTTTGTAAGTCGCTAATAGAGTATAATACAAATTATTAATGAGATGATGTCTTTCCAAGTAGTTAGATAATACTACTCAATTTCAATCAAATTCATTAAAACTGAGCTGTTTGAGTGTCTAGTGACCTAATTCAATA